GTACGAGAGTGATATCGCGTTTAAACAACAGTTCGACGGAACATGTGTGTAATTAAACAAGAAACAACGGAGTGCCTAATAAAACCCTCTTTTGTGCGGAACTACTTCCTTCCGCCACGGAGTCAAAGCTCAAGTTGACAGTTAAACATACGTCACTTTTAGAATTGGTATCAAGGGCATGTGCTGCTTCAGTTAGGTTATTAGTGAGAAATAATGAGGTTATAAGAGAGAAACAATGCGGCAAGTCGTGCATCCGAATGTGAGAGAGAGAGAGACCACGATGCTAGACGTTTCTTCTTATATTAACTAACGTACTCTCAGTGTTTCCAACTAATTTTTAGGGGAAGTTGCTAAATGAAGGTCAATTTGTTGCTAAAAGTTGCTAAATCACATTGTGATGTCATTGCGTGATGATGTCATTACGTAATCACGACGCGAAATTGTGTCACTACATCAAATCTCAGCAAAAAATATATATTTTATATATGTTAATTTAGATTTGTTTGTAAAATCATATAAATGCATAATATAATATTAAAATATAAATAAATATTTAAAATACACCATTGAATTATTGAAAACTTTCACATTGTTCAACGTGTTTTTTAGCTAGTAAACTAGAAAAACTACACATTCTGAACAATTATACTTTTATGCAGTGTATTAGTAGTCTAAGAAAAGTCTGTAAAAAATTGGGCACAATCTACAATGTTAATATGAAGGAATTTTCCGTATTGATTTTTTTAACTGCATTTTAAATTACGCATTGTATTTTGTGTTTTTGGGTTACAACGGATAATGTCCTGGGATTGTGAATTACTATACCTTTTCTATTTGTACATATTTTTCTTACAGTGTACTAACTGATCAACAAACACAGGTACAAGCTACTAACATTGTGTATCATAAATGAACAATTATTCAATTAAATTGAACAGTTGCAAATAGCAATTAGAATTTAATTCATGTGATGCGTGTACTTCTAGGCATCTTTGGTTTCCTCTTTTTGTGTAATTTAGATGTAAAACGTGTGCTTTTTATCATTTGAGTCACTTAACCCAAGTTGCTAAAAGTTGACAAATACATTTTTAAAATAGCAAAATTTGTTGCTAGGTGCTTTTGGAAGAAAAAGTTGCTAGAGTAGTCTGAAAAGTTGCTAAATTTAGCAACAAAATGCTAAGTTGCCAACACTGCGTACTCTACGATTAGCTCAGTGAAAAAAAAAAAAAAAACATAGACCCGGCTAGAACAAGCAGAGTGATACAAAATTGTGAAAGGGCGTTCCTGTAGCGATACCAGTACAATATCTCACGGTTCTCAACCAATCAGATTTGAGAACAGAACGAACTGTTGTATAAAACTAATATATCCTTAAGCTATACTAGAATACTAGCTTGACTTATAAAAACAGGTCAGATTTTTATATTATTATTATTTAATATATGGAGTACCTCATTTTGTTGTGTTCTAATGGGCTTTGGAGTCAAAAAGGTTGAGATCCACTGATTTCGATGTCATATTTAGAATATAACATGCTGAGATGAATACGATATGCTGAGATGTCTCTATGGGATGCTAGATTTACAGCATTCTGTAAATGTATAATATTTCGAATATATGTAAATATATTTTCATGTTTATCAGGCGTTTGTAAATAAGACTGAGTGAAGTAAGAGATTACATCAGTCTGAAGTCAAGTGTGCTATTTAATTTCTCTTTTTACATTTTGAACCTGTCGTGTGTTTGCTATCCCATACTTATCTCCGTTTTGTACATATTTTTCTTACAGTGTACTAACTGATCAACAAACGCAGGTACAAGCTACTAACATTGTGTATCATAAATGAACAATTATTCAATTAAATTGAACAGTTGCAAATAGCAATTAGAATTTAATTCATGTGATGCGTGTACTTCTAGGCATCTTTGGTTTCCTCTTTTTGTGTAATTTAGATGTAAAACGTGTGCTTTTTATCATTTGAGTCACTTAACCCAAGTTGCTAAAAGTTGACAAATACATTTTTAAAATAGCAAAATTTGTTGCTAGGTGCTTTTGGAAGAAAAAGTTGCTAGGGTAGTCTGAAAAGTTGCTAAATTTAGCAACAAAATGCTAAGTTGCCAACACTGCGTACTCTACGATTAGCTCAGTGAAAAAAAAAAAAAAAACATAGACCCGGCTAGAACAAGCAGAGTGATACAAAATTGTGAAAGGGCGTTCCTGTAGCGATACCAGTACAATATCTCACGGTTCTCAACCAATCAGATTTGAGAACAGAACGAACTGTTGTATAAAACTAATATATCCTTAAGCTATACTAGAATACTAGCTTGACTTATAAAAACAGGTCAGATTTTTATATTATTATTATTTAATATATGGAGTACCTCATTTTGTTGTGTTCTAATGGGCTTTGGAGTCAAAAAGGTTGAGATCCACTGATTTCGATGTCATATTTAGAATATAACATGCTGAGATGAATATGATATGCTGAGATGTCTCTATGGGATGCTAGATTTACAGCATTCTGTAAATGTATAATATTTCGAATATATGTAAATATATTTTCATGTTTATCAGACGTTTGTAAATAAGACTGCGTGAAGTAAGAGATTACATCAGTCTGAAGTCAAGATGCTAAGTTGGCAACACTGCGTACTCTACGATTAGCTCAGTGAAAAAAAAAAAAAAAACATAGACCCGGCTAGAACAAGCAGAGTGATACAAAATTGTGAAAGGGCGTTCCTGTAGCGATACCAGTACAATATCTCACGGTTCTCAACCAATCAGATTTGAGAACAGAACGAACTGTTGTATAAAACTAATATATCCTTAAGCTATACTAGAATACTAGCTTGACTTATAAAAACAGGTCAGATTTTTATATTATTATTATTTAATATATGGAGTACCTCATTTTGTTGTGTTCTAATGGGCTTTGGAGTCAAAAAGGTTGAGATCCACTGATTTCGATGTCATATTTAGAATATAACATGCTGAGATGAATACGATATGCTGAGATGTCTCTATGGGATGCTAGATTTACAGCATTCTGTAAATGTATAATATTTCGAATATATGTAAATATATTTTCATGTTTATCAGGCGTTTGTAAATAAGACTGAGTGAAGTAAGAGATTACATCAGTCTGAAGTCAAGTGTGCTATTTAATTTCTCTTTTTACATTTTGAACCTGTCGTGTGTTTGCTATCCCATACTTATCTCCGTTTTGTGTCTTTCAGCCCGAGAATGTATTAATCGAGCAAACGTCAACCCAGCCTCTAGTCAAACTGACGGACTTTGGTGATGCGGCACATCTCTCCAGCACCCCGTACATCCAGCCTCTGCTGGGCAGCCCAGAGTTCTCCGCCCCTGAGCTGGTGCTGGGTGAGCCCGCGGCTCTGGCGTCTGACCTCTGGAGTCTAGGCGTGCTAGCCTACGTGATGCTCAGCGGGGCGTCCCCTTTCCTGGACGAGAGCGTTGAGGAGACCTGCCTCAACATCTGCCGCCTCGACTTCAGCTTCCCGGAGGACTACTTCCGCGGCGTGAGTCCGGCGGCGCGGGACTTGGTATGCGTCCTACTCCAAGGCGAGCCGTGCAGGCGTCCCTCTGCGCAGGTTTGCCTGCGTGAGCAGCCATGGCTGCAGCCCAACGCAGCCTCTGGAGCAGCTCGCCTCGACACTTCCAGACTCATCTCTTTTATAGAGCGGAGGAAACATCAGAACGACCTGCGACCCGTGGCCAGTTTCCGAGCATTCCTGCGTAGTCGCCTGCTTAGCCAGAGCTGAGAGAAACATAGAGTGCAAATCTTGTTCTCCTGCAGTTCTGAGTAGGATATTAAGGAACGTATAGGTTGCTGATATATGCTGAAATCTCATCCTGCTTTTAGAGTCATTCTGAAATGGTTCTGGGTCTCTGTTACTGTAACTGCTGCTGACAAAACTCTGAAGTCCCCTTTTCCAACCCTACATGTACATGTTCTCTCTTTGTATGGACAAAGCTTACAAGAAAAAAAATGTGAATTTTTTTGTGAAATGTGAAAAGAAGGTCCTTTTGAAGGTTTTTCTCTGAGCCAGAAAGGTTTAGCCTCATGTTCGGACAGTATTTCAATCAGGTTGTTTCAGTGGACTACTGTAATTTGAATAGCTACATTCAGGAAAGATTACATTTTGTACAAACCATGTATAGAAGCACAGTAAAGATGATATCTTTATCCTGAAAGTTTTGGAGAAAAAAAAAAGAAGAAAAAAAAAGAAGCTTATTTCAAGATTTAAAGGGACGCATCCATCTCAAGTTCCATGTTTGATAAACATACAGTCATATTGGAAATCGATCATAACAAATGAAACGACTTTTAACAGCTGCAACTCTTTCGGACGAGAAGTAAAAGATAAACTTTTGATTTCAACTCACATCTGTCTATCAGCCTTATGTTGTAAATAAACTGGACCTGCCTTCATTCATGTTAATTTGCAGTGTTTGAAATGCTTTCTCATGACTTTCAACTGTCCAGTTAGAATACAAGCTGGAAAGCCGCCGAAGGCAGGAAGTGTCGGTAACCACAGCAGATGTGCACTCTTTGTAACTTGTTGAAATGTGCAATGTTGGGGCTTTACCATTTTGCAGCTATTTATAACGATTCGTGTTAAATCAACATTGTTACGTACACGTGTCAGCCACTGCGAGTTAAGATATAATGTGTCCGTGGCTCTTTTGCTGAGATTTCTGTGTGCAGTATTATTTTGTATGCTTAAGCCTCATCGGTGAAAAATCATTTGTGTCTTTGTCACACTTTGGTTATGAATGTCGTTATTTTTATCGTTATACCAAAGTTACCTAAATGCTTCTTCATCTCCCTGTGTGGTGGTTATAATTTGTAAGTTATGAATGCAGTTCTGACTCCTGGAGCAGGAGTTTACTTGTATTGATTGTTGATTTATTTATTGTGTCTGGTTCGGTTTTTGTTAATCGAATTGAATTGAAGTAGTGCTTCATATTGTCAGATTATTAGGAATTTTAATTCCCATATCTGCTCATTGTAGCAGTAGTCTGTTAGTGTACGTTTGCATGACTAAATGACAAGAATTATTCTTTGTTTTCAGTTCACCTTGTTTTTAAATACAATGAGATGAATCGTTCCCCATGTGCTGTTTCTGCTGTACAGGGAGAAAGTATAAAGTCAAAGTTATGAATGCAGTTCTGACTCCTGGAGCAGGAGTTTACTTGTATTGATTGTTGATTTATTTATTGTGTCTGGTTCGGTTTTTGTTAATCGAATTGAATTGAAGTAGTGCTTCATATTGTCAGATTATTAGGAATTTTAATTCCCATATCTGCTCATTGTAGCAGTAGTCTGTTAGTGTACGTTTGCATGACTAAATGACAAGAATTATTCTTTGTTTTCAGTTCACCTTGTTTTAAATACAATGAGATGAATCGTTCCCCATGTGCTGTTTCTGCTGTACAGGGAGAAAGTATAAAGTCAGTTGCCTCCAAATTGTGGGTTGAAGTTTAAGAGGCAAGTCGCAGTGCTCTAATAATCCAAAATAACAACCGTCAACCCTTGTCACTAAAACCTAGTTGCAATTATTGCTGAATATAAAGGAGGTGAATAACATGCTGCGTCAGTAATGTTAGTATGATTTTTCATGTTTTATTTAAGTTAGTTTCTCATAATGTATAGCTGTACAGACACCTGGACGTAGCGACACCCTGTTTTTTTTACATAACAATGTCATTTTGAATGTTTTTGACTCGATGTTATCTTTGCATGTATATTTCCTTGTACAGAAACCATACATGTTTGCACATTCTGTGCTGTACATAAGTAACTTTACCCCTGGTTATTTTTGAGATTAAACATCTGAAACATTTTATTCGTACAACTCGTCTCCAGCGTCTTTGTTTATAAAGTGTGTATGGGATTGGAAGAATGTTGTCGTACAGTAGGTCTATCTGATCTGAGGATTAGTATTTTTACATATTTCCTGTCTGTGTCTCTTGAGGCCTCACCCAGACCATGTGAAAACAGGCAGGTGTGAAAGCTGCATCTGCAGGTGCTGATCTTGATAAGATCCCAAAACCGATAAATGACTAGTTAAGCTCACCCTGATCTTATCGCAGTGGTGTCGGCATGTGCAGGCAACTGTAAGTGAACTACAGTCAGTTGTTTTGCAAAACAAAAAGAATGTTAAGAATTCATATGTGCACGTTGATTGTATACATTTCACCAATCAGGCAATGTAGCCTAATGCATTTGCACGCTCACCTTTCTATTGTAATTATTGTGCATGCTGGTTTCCGGTTTCCTATTAATTAAGAAATTGCAGTTAATTAAGAAATATCCAAATATAAAAGTTTTCTTGTGAGCATGTAGGCATACCTGTATTAAAAACATTTTTTTTAAAAAGATGCCTTTACAGAAAGGTTCGTGACTCTTGCAGCGTCTGTGGTTGTTTGTCTTGATTGTGTGAATATAACTGCTTTGTTTTTTATGAGGTGTGAGAAGTTTGGTGTCGAGTTTAAACTGTGGCTAATGTTGTTCTGCAGTCACCCACACACATACAGTGTGCCTCGGTCGGTTTCCAACTCTCAAAAAGACTTTGACGTTAAAATAATTCCATTTAGTGGCCCGGCCCAGACTTTGAGGTCTAAGATAACCAACCGAATAAAACTAAAGGATCTCTATGAACCTTTCATACTGAAAATAAAACTTCAAATTCAAACTTCCATAAGTACGAATCACAATTTCCCCTCTCAAGTTGCGTTCTAAGAAATTGTGAAAACAGTTTCCATGACTCATTTTTGGTTTGAAATAAGTTGTCTGTTGACGCGGTGGTAATAATGGGGGTATTTAGACATCTGTGACTTTGTGCAGTTATTAAAAATGGCTTCGTAAAGCATGTGGCTATACCACCAGGAGGCACACTTTAATTAGATCAAGAAGTCTAGTCATTGGTCTAATAATTCTGCAATATGGTGTCAGTGCATGAGAAACTTATCAGAATGCTTTATTTGTGGTTTGTAACTGTGGTCATGATTTGATCAGATATCTTCCTGGCACACTGATAGGTTATATAAGATAACCTAAGATAATATACAAAGTTCTCAGTTCTTCTCTGTTACTGTAGTCTTTGATGCAGCATGGAAACAAAACGGTCCTAGGGTTAGTTCATCTTGACGCATAGAATACTTCAAATTGTTTAAAAGGTAAGAATGTTTCCTTGTGGTCTTAATGAACTCTATTTCTGTGCAAAATATTGGAATGTAGTTATAAAACAACTTTTTCTTTGTACGTTTTTATTTAACAAAAGTGTATGTTAAGCCTTGTTATTAGCCAACAGGCATGCTATTACATAGTCACAGCATGCATATTAAATGCAATGAAATGTTTTCGCGATATTTGAACTTTGTGCAGTTTTGAACCAACATGCTAATGAGTGAAAATATTTCAGACTGGATGGAGCTATTTAAATAAAATGTCAAATCGCTCATGCAAACTTCCTTATTCGTCTTGTAAAGAAATAATCAAAAAAATCTCATTCCTCAAGAGACAGGATTTGCAAAAGTGTGTGCATACAAAATAATTGCAGATAATGAATTCTTGCCCGTTGTTATTAGCACACTTAAATTATCTGGCGTAGCCTACAAATGTCATATTTTATATGATGTTATTTTTAGTATTTTGTTCATAATTGAATATTATGATTTCTATTATTTAAATAGGCCTATTATTCACTTAAAATGACAAACATTTAACATAATAAGCAGAACTATATATTTTATAACTAATGAATTAGTGCAAACAAATACTGTGGTATGAATTAACTGTGTTATGCAGTCTGCTTGTATGTATGCTCTGTATGTAAAAATGACAATACAGCCTATTGACTTAAATATTGTTGGCATCCAATAGACTGAGAATAAAAAAGCATCCTTTGAGTAACAGTGAAAAGACTGTGATGTACTTGATATGGATGTATTCGATGTGCCATGTAGATATGCATTGTATGGAAATTGCCAAAAAAAGGAAGACTTCTGACTTTCATCTGTTTCCAATCTGCTATTGCACAGAAGACCTAAAGGAGGCGACACCTGCATAAACAGTTGCCTGTGCTGATGCTTTTCACTTGAAAGTACTAACAATACTTCAACTGCAAAGAAAAATAGTCTTGAAAAAAAATATCTAGGCTATTTATAGTAACAGCTTTGACTTGTTCCTCATATCAATGAGCAGCACCCATAATGGACCTTTATTTTTGTTGCATGACAATGTTCTATTAAGAAATGTGTGTTAACATGTACACATAGTGAGTCGAGTTACAGTTGAATGTTTCTAAATGTGTGGTACCATGCTTTTCTACTGTTTGCAACCAGATCCTGAACTATGTTTGTTCAAAGATTTTTTTCTTCTTCTTCGGTGTAATGAATGTTTAATAAAGTAAACTCTAATAAAATGATCCTTCTATTCATTTTCCAAACCACTTGTCCAGAGTCAGGGAAAAATCCATCCGATGGACATCTCATGAGGCAACAGAAAGTGACATTGAAAGTCACATGACAGAAAGTCACATAGCAACGCAAACTTTTGTTTTGTCTAAAATATACTTTCTTAACTTAACAAAGTTCTTTATCAAATACAAGTTCTGTACTCTTACAGTTCACGATTTACGAATGCAACTTATAGTGACTGTGTCTTTGTGCCTAAAACATGGTTCTCTCCATTGATTATTTGGAATTAGTTTAGCTGCCAAAGCAAAAATAGAGGAAGTAGCTGGAAATACATCAGTGTCTGTCACATAACGTGTGTATTTCTTTTTTCCTTTTTTTTAGTTCTTGGCCTTTGTTTAGCCCTGGTGTCCTTAGTTAACCCCTGGTTCATTGATTATAGTCCCACCTGCTCCTTGTTTTCTTCCTCAGTTAGTTTGTGTGTCTGTGTCCCTGTATGTTTATACTTCAGTGCTTGGTCAGTTCTGGTTTGGTTTTTGGATTGATGTAAGGTTTGGTTTGATGTATCCCTGTTTTACCCGTGTGCCCGTGTTCCAGAGTTTGTTTTTTTTATTTAATAAAGCACTTTGCAAATATACTCATCTCTAGTCTTCTTGCTGCACTAGACCATGACAGTGTAAAAAAAAAAGTTTCATTGTTGCTCATGCATCTTCGTTATAGGATTTTCCCTATACCCCTAAAATGTACCACAGCCACTAAAAGATTGCTTGTAGACTAAATTAAAATGGATCCTTATAGATCCTGGGAATGAATACCTGGAATTAGTGTTATTTAGTGTACTATAATTTAGTTTGTTAATATTCTGAATTATATTTTCTGTTTTCATTTTAAGATCAAGTTTCAGTGACTTTGTGTATATATATTCAATATTCATATGTGTGTGTGTACTGTATATGTGTCAGTCCTGTGTTCCTGTGTCTTGTTTATTCCTCCCCCACGTGCTCCATGACCTAGTCTCTCCTGTGTCTGATTATGTTCATTATTTCCAGGTGTTCCACATTTAGTTCCTGAATTTAAGCCCTGTGTGTTCCTGAGTCCTGGGTCCAGCCTTATACGTTTAACCCCTGCGCTATGTGTGTGTTCCTGCCCGTGTATGTCTTTATGTGGATTAATAAAGATTGTTCCTCGTTTTCCTCCATCGTCTCCGCGCTCCTTCGTTCCGACACAGTAGGCAAACCGTGTATGCATGTATTTATGTATATAAAAAGCCTTTTCACACCAAAAGTGAAATGAATAAGCCTCAGGCTGAAGGGAAAGTAGATTTACGTCCGTACAGTAGAATGCAGAAGTTAAAAAAGACACGCAAATGTTTGTCTATAGTAATTTGTGCTTATTAGTACGGTTGAAATGGATCATCGAAGGTCAGAAGCAAAGACTTCGGTTAATAGAATGGGATTAAATACATAAAGGATATTTGTGTTGTTTAACATTTAATTATTGCAGGTTTGCGTCATATCTCAGATTTCTGAGCCAAATGGATTTTGAATGCAGCTTCCAAAAGACAGAAAATAGCCGAATAATATTTTTTATATTTGATACAACAATCACACCGGTGTGATTAGAACGTTCAGTGCGTCATTTCATCAGCTGCCAAATTCAAATCTGCCGACGCGTTTTTACAGCGCACTGGGCATTAGAACCAATCACACACGAT